CCAGAATATGCAAACAGTTTTGCTTAGTTTTGAAAATTTTAAAATGTAGTCCATAAATTAGCTTTTTTATCCTGCATTATTGCATTATGTTTCAAAGAGTTTTGAAAAGTGGAAAATGGTTGCTTTGTTTTAAGCTTCAATTTGCCATCCATTATTTTGTACAAGCTTTTTGAAAATTAGCTTCAAAAATTTACATTTTACTAGCTAATGAAAAGAACTTGCTTGGGTCGGAAAAATGAAATCAAAGACATTTTATCCTTTTTTCCCGCAAACCAACAAATTTTGATGCTTTTAATCAAGTAGTCTAACTGAAAAAAAGTTTAGTTATTTTCTGAAGAGCACTTTACCCTCATAAATTTGTTTTTTGCATAAAATTTGTGCTCTGTATTCTTTTTGTTACTATGCACATGTAAGTAAGAGATCAGTTGAAAAATTGATGTAGCGAACTCATTAAATGACTGCAATTATACCCTACGAGGTTTTTCAAAAATCGTTTACAGATACGCATACTCGCACATACGCAAACTAGTCCGCCATAAAAAATTAAAAAACAGACTTATTTTCATCAAAAATTAAAGCCAAAGTAATCATTTTAAGTGGATTCGAAATCAATCTAATTACATGACTTAGACTTTTTTGTTAGCTGTTTGTTTTTGAAGCATTTAGATGCAAATTGAATTGATTTGAGTCCATTTTTATCATTTTAATGTAATACTTTTATACAGATTATGTAAAGATATTTTTGACTTTTTCAATTTTCCATTGATATGAGTAATATGGAAAAAATTAAAAACTGCGTTTTCAGTTTTGTGCTGGTGTTCAATCCGAAAAGAAAATATCATAATAACATAACTAAGTGCAAGTTTCTGAAAAAGAAATTAAATGCAATCTGAAGCTCCCAGTTGAGTTGTTCAATTTTTTGTTCATTTGTTTTAAAAATCTGCGCTAACAATGTTGATTATAAAAAAAATATATATTTAAAAATTTTTGGCGTTTATTTTTTTTACTGAGAATCCTTAGTTTGAAAAATCTAAAGGGATTTCCTAGATTTTTTAATTTTTGGCAAGCTGTTTTTTTTCGAATTACTGCAAATCACAGTAACACAGTTGTTTTTAAACAACTTTTGGATTATAAGTAAAAATTACACTTGAAAAATGTATACGGCTGCAAAATTGATTTTTTAACACCAAAAAAGTTATTTTCGGGAAAAAGGGTGGACCTAACTAAATAACTTACAAAATCCATTCAAATTGACTAAAATAAATTTTGAGACATTAAACATGATCTTATAACTTCCGACGCTTCCATGACATTCTACCCTATTCCAATCTACCCTGTGCTAATCTACCCTATAGCAATCTACCCTATGGCAGTGTACCCTATAATTAACGCAATTGAAACTTACCCCATCCTCTTCAAGAATCCGAAACAGTAAGTTTCCGAACAAATCACTGAACCATTAATTGTGATCAAAGAATAATTGACGCATGTGAACAAAATATCAAGGCAACGTAAAACTGGAAATGAGTTCAAAGCATGAACGAACAGAAGTTTTAATCCAATTTTGCTATACGAATGCGTTGCGGCTATTTCTTAAACAAACAAAAGTCTTATCACATCAAGTCGACATAGCTTAGCGGATAATGCATCTGTTTTAAAATCAAAAGTTCGAAAGATCAAATCACCAAGAAGTCAAATTTTGAATGAAATTCGAATATTACTGAGGATTTGACTAGTTGATCACAAAAGGAAGAGTAGACCACCCAGTACCAGGCCAAGGCGGTATTGGGGGCGGGGTGAGGGAGAAGATAAAATTTTTTTGATATTGGCGTCTATTACCTCCCAAAATATCAGCCCTCTACAGCCACGAGAACCTCATAAAGTGTTTTTTTAGAAAAGAAATTCAAATTTTGAAAAATTCATAAAGTTTGACAAAAGAAACAGAGTTAGGAATGACTTAATTGCGCGAGAGAAAAGAAGTATGTTAAAATAGAACCATTGTTAAAATTGTTGCAAATGTTTTTCTCTTTCTCATTCAATTATGAATTGCGACTGGGGTTGCTGTTTCCACCCATTGCTTTCAATATATTGAACTTTCGATTGGCAGCATCCAATTTGATTTGATCCAGAAAGGTGTGAACGGATGGGTGGTTTCCTTTAAAGAAAATAGCAACGCCCAGATGCCAGCCTTCTATAGCATTTGTTGTCCTTATTAACCCAGCAGATGCTTCTTCGGAATAATTCCAATGGTTTACTGGAAAGAGAGGGTCGCGAGAATTCCTTCTGATGGTTTCACCTTTGATGTAGGTGCGCTGGAAGTATGAGGCTGCCTCATCAAGTTTTTCAGTGATGTTGTCGTCGAGATCAAATTTGTCAGACACTTTTTCGATTTCCTCAATAACCAAGTCAAAAGCAGCATTGACCATTTCAACTGGTACAAAACTAGAGCTGGAATTAAGCGCAACGACAAATTGAGATCGTGATTAGTTTCGTCCAGTCGCTTTAGGCCCACTTCGTTTATTTTCCGGTTGAACGCTTGACATAAATGAAAATAGCAGCCTTTCAGCAACGCTCCGGTATGATGACTAGCAAAAGCGTTTAGTGTTGAACACTTGAACACTTCCAGTGAAAGTTTCCATTCGTTGTTTCCTGTTTTTTTTGTAAACTCGTGGCCACCAATTAGTAGCGTTCTCCGATTCTGTTGAGATAGACCTTCAAGAAATTTGACTCATTTTGGTAAATGTTTTTCCAAGGAAAGTTGATATAATGATGTAGTTTTGGTTTCATTTTTGTACGTGATTTTGATTTTTGGGTATTAAAACCTGTTAATTGAGACAAATTTCAGATTTTGAGGCTTAAATTGCAATTTAGTCTTTAGAACAATATCCTTAAGTGGAAAACTCAAATTGAGTCCAAAATTTTAGACTCAAATGAATTAACACGTGCTGTTATCTTTCCGATTCCAATTAGGACTGTGAAAGATTACATTATTTATGCGCTAAATCGACACAGGTTAAACTGGTATATAGGGCAGATTAGTATAGGGTAGATTAGTATAGGGTAGAATGGTATAGGGTAATTTGGAATAGGGTAGATTGTCCTGCCACCCTTCTGACTATAACCATTCAAAGCAATTGAAAATCCATTTCAGTTCGCAATTTGGTTAGTCTTAATTGATTTGGATTGATTTAACTACGATTTAAAATTGATTCAAATCGAGCATAATCCTAATTTTTTAGTGCGGTTTTTTTTGTTTTTGTCCAAATTTGTGTCTAAACTTGAGCCAACTTGAGGAACACATGGCTTGGAACAGACTAGTTTGAAACGGCGTTTTTCAAAAAAAGTTGTATATATTTATGCTTGCAGATTTGATATAGCATTCAGTTTTCGGCGAGATTGACTGAATATAGATATTTGGGCTAGCTTTATTTTGATCAAATTTGATTTATCAAACAACTTGATTGTGTTCTGATATGATTGTGTTGTGATATGATCTTAAAGATGCTGATGCTTTGATTACAAAAATACACAGTTATTTTACTTGTGATCATTTTTTAACTTGGGGATATTTGAAACTTTTCTGATTTTCAATTTGAGATAACCTTTGCGCGCATATATTTCCTGTTAATTTTACAAGATGTTATAATAATTTAGCTTATAAATCGGACCAAGTCAACATCCATCCTCCACTCATAGCAGTTTAGGGGGAGGATGATAAGTTGGTTCTTCTGAGTTGGATTTTTCAGCCAATAAGAATCGATCATTTTACATTCAGCGCTTCACAGAGGTGGGGGTGGGGGTATGGTTTGGGTAACGTTAACTTGATTCTATATTTTTTTTCGAATTGAGCCGAAAAATGAATAGGGCGAAGTACTTGAAGGCGAAATAAGTCCTTAATTTTTTTGAAATTTTGAAAAAATAAAAGAAACTGCAGGTCTTTTTTTGAAAACTTGTCGAAAATTTGTTCAGCAAATATATATCGTTTAACGCACGTTTAAGTGCAGACCAACAGTCTTGTTGGTTTTTTTGACATACGAACAAGTTATTTCCTCGAGCTGTTTCTGGAGATCTTTTTAACACTCGAATGCATTGAAAACAAAACACCTTATTTCGATCATAGCAAACTGGCTTAAGATTATTGAGCAACTCATGTGTTGTGGGATCAGACAAATAAAAAACAGACGATAGTTTTATAGTTTTCATTGAAATAGTCAAGTCTCCAAAACACCCAGCAAATACGAGGAGTAAATTGACAAAAAAAAACACTATTTTTACCAATACTGACCAAATATCCAAAACTGACAAAATGTGCGCAGAAACTTTCAACTGATACTTTTGAGTCTGGCGTTTAAAAATCTCTTTCGGGTCGTTTCGTAAGTTTCTATCTCCGTTTTCTTTTCAGCTGATTATCTTCTTGCCAGCCAGATGACAATTAAAAAAAACAAAGCTGATGGTTTTTATAAACAAGAGCAAAGGGTTTGATTGATGTTTATATCATAAGCTTTTTATTGCACATATTCTTTTGTTTCTGCGCTACAAAATATATTTATTTTGTGAAACTAGAATAGATTTTGAACGAATGAGGAAAAATTGTCCCAAATTTACTGGTAAGGCTATCTTAAACGCAACCTTCTACTCGGCTCTGTGTTTTCTGAAATACACTTGCCACAAAATTTTATCTAATTAGCAATTTTTTGCATAGTTTGGGGGTTAGCTGCGTCATTGAGTAAAAGAGGTTGCTTTTTGATCAACTATTTGTCTTACTTCCTAGTTTTTTTTGCCTTCTTTGTTTTGATAATATTTTCTTTTGGCGCCATTAAAACTAAAAATTGAACTATATGGTAAAAAGGAAAAAGTGACTTGAGTAAAATTAATTGCATTGCAATGCATCCACGTAGGCTGTGTGGCATCTACTTGGCGGAATTTTTCATCTAGCTTAATTTGAGCGTGAAAAACTGCAATTTGTTTGATTGTAATTCTCTTTCGTTTTTGATGAAATACCTCAGGTGTAAAAGAAAAATAGCCGGGAAATTTTACCACTTTTTCCCAATTCAGACGAACAAGTGTTCAATTAAAACTTGTTTCATTTACTTGACGACGTTAATTTCCCTGCACTTTATTCGAAGAGGCGGCGCAAACTTGACAATTATTCGACTTTCAACTATAAACTTAACTTCAACCAACCTTTGCAAGTCATGCATTTAAGAACTAAGAACTAAATTTCAGATTGTATAAATGAAATAAAACATTTCAGACAGAAAAAAGCGACGTCGGTTTGAAGAAGATGGCAGCAGAAACAGACATATCCGAATACCAACTCAGGTTAGCCACTTTATTTGTATTTTTAGCTCCCATTATTCGCAAAGATGTGTGAATGAATTACAATCCAGAGTGGATTTAACCCCAATTTAAGATGGGGTTAAATCCGAATGGACGTTTTGAACGAATTGACGTTTTTGGCGAAAAGGAATCTTATGATAAAATCAAAACAATTTTAGGGCCACTTTTGACAGAAATTGTAGGAATTTTCAGACCGGAAAACAATCTACGGGAGAGCTGAAGTATTCGAAAAAACCAGAAACAGTCAAGTGGTCTGATTTTTTCCTAGTTTAAGAACAGGTTTTTTGCCATTTTAAAACATAAGTAGTAAGATTTTTTTTTCTATCTCAGTCTGGAAAAATAGTTAATTAAGATTTTTTCCTTATTTTTAGAGAACTAAGTTTTCTTGTAACGCTAAGGGTGTTGTTCTACCAAAATTTCTTGAACGGAAATCCTTGGATACTTGGAATCAGTAGCACTTATCATAGTGGTAAGGAGATCAACTTGAGATCTTTAGGTTGTGTATTTGATCACCTGTCGTGAAAATGATAGTTTGTTAAGTTCAGCTCCCGTTTGTTCACTAGCTTCAACAAAGTCTGAAAAATTTCGTCGGCATTTCATTATTGGTTCCATGTTCTAGCAAAACTAAGCGGTCTTCAGCAGAAAAAATAAGAAGAGAAGAGAGAGAGAGAGAGAGAGAGAGAGAGAGAGAGAGACTGATTGTATCAAAAAAGAGGCGCCTCTAATGTTCAGATCACATGGGGAGGAATTTTGTTTTCGGATGTGTTTTAGTTTTCTTTTTTTTTGTTTTCCACATCCTAATATAACATCGTAAAGTCCTTGTGATCAACTGTGATTAAATGTCCAAGAAAAGTCTCAGTCTCGAGAAAAACCGGTCCCGATATTTTTTTTGGTCTAATTGGGCGAATAAAGTGAGCGCGCAAGCTTATTTTGTTTTTCAACCAAAATTCAGATGCCACAAATAGACATCGGAATGGGTCGAGTGATATATAATATTAAAGCCCTTTCAGTCGTGATTCGAGTGACATTCAATTTTCAAAACAGGCAATTTCTGGCCTACGGCGGTGCAGAAATTTTTGGTGAAATAGGCCATCTACAGTTTTTTGGAAGATGAAAGTCTTCAATCAAAATTTTTTTGATTTTCTTCTGAAAATGCCCCCGCCTCCTACTCTTAAGAAAATCCCGTGTGATCATGCGTCTTAAATATGTAGCCACTATTATAGGGTACGCAGATGAGAAAAGGCTGTCGAGGTTTTTATTGCTGTTTCATCGCTGAAAATAAGCCAAATTAGCGGTAATTTATCGATTAAATTTGCTATTGTGGCAATGAGCATCGATAATTCATCGCTGTTTTTTTTAACTTTTTTATCGCTAATTTTCAATGTGAGCTCAACCCGGGTCCCAGTTAATTTGAATCAGTCAATTCTTATTAGAAAGAGTTGCTGAAATCTAATCAACTATTTGACAGATCTTATTAACTGAAGTCCACCCCAACTCATATGCTATTTTTTACTATATCCTTTCTTCTCCTGATTGTATTTTTTTGGCATACCCTCGTCTGTGTTGTTATGTATAGGTACTGTTCTCCAAATTACTCTTCGTCCGAGGACGACAGTGATTGTGACTTGGAACATTTTGTTCAACTTCCGAACTCAGCTCTCGGAATGTCCAAAAGAGATGACTCATCTGAAAACAAATTCACAACTGCTGTTCGCCAATCAGAAGACGCGAAAAACAGAAACGAAAGTGCTTCGCATGATTGGAACGATTTCCAGAGCTGTGAGATAACGACGACGACATTAATCGACCTATCAGATTGCAGGTCAGTCCGTTCAGCTGAACTTTGAATGAAACAGGCACCTGCAAAAAACAAAGTATTTACCCCAAAATGAATTCTACGCCTAAATGTGAATTCACTTCGCTTCTTTAGTTTTTCTTTAGCGTTTCCATCTGTGATTTTTACTAGTGAAACTTCATTTTAAAGCTCGATGTGTTTTAAAATTTAGCATGTATGGTAATTGCCTGCCCCAAGCACATTTGATCTACATCAACAACCTTGTAAAATCGATAGTTCATACAGAAAAACTTTTTTTTTGTAAGTGTGTGTTTTTAAACAATAAAAAATTCATTTCATTATATCTACTGACTTTGAATACAGATGCAGAATTTATGCTTTTCAAGTTCCTTGTATATTGTCAGTTTATCCATAAACACAGAATCTGGTCGCTGAAACTGAATCATTCAACGTCGATTGCTATAGAGTCATCATAACCCATAATTATGGTGGCTAGTCGCGACTAATTTTTCAGAACAGTTCTGCATTTTTTGTATGGGAACTAATTTTAGTCTAGGTGCAAGCATGATCAGGTGCATGAATTGTACACAAATGTCTAACTATTGATTGGGAATGTAAGGATATCAATACAATGGCTCCCAGAGACAAGCTCATTTTTTTTCATTTAAAAAAACGTTGGGCACTGAAAAACTTTCGTTTTTCCAATTTTGTCTCAGAAACTTTGCTCGGGTCGAAGCGCTCACTTCATGTTTCGACTTTCAAAGTCGAGCGCATCTCAGTGCTCGACCGAAACGGAATAGTCGAGACAGGGTTTGGCTCGTGCACTAATTCGAAACATATCTGAAACACAGCCGAGTACAGCTGAAACACAGCCTCAAGCACGATAAAAAGATACTTCGAGCACTGTCAAAACATACCTTGAGCTTGGTCGAAACTTCAATTGAGCAGATTGATATGTACCTTTTTCTCGCATTTTTTGCTGGCAAAACTGTATGACAAAAGCACCCCGAAACCGCAAAACAATCCAGTATGTATATATTTTGAATTTGTAACTTGTTAGATCATTATTTTTTCTGATCTTTTACAGGATCGATTGAGAAGGCCTACATATGGCCGCGAATCATAAAAAAACGACAAACTTGGCCTAGACGGTCTAAACATTTTGGTCGGAAAGACGAAACAAATGAACATTAACGAGACAGTCGATAGACGTATACGTTTCTTAATAGCTTGAATCAAATTGCGACAAATTTATTTTTTTAACACTGAAGTTCCCGAGCGATGAAACTTTCAAAGTATTCAAGTTGTTCCATATTGTGAAACAATTTGCAAAAAAAATCAGGTCAAAACTTGTATCCTGACTCGATCAACTAGCTATAAATTTAAACAGTAAGGAGTTTAACACTGAAGTTCCCGAGCGATGAAACTTTCAAAGTTTTCAAGTTGTTCCATATTGTGAAACAATTTGCAAAAAAAATCAGGTCAAAACTTGTATCCTGACTCGATCAACTAGCTATAAATTTAAACAGTCGTGAAGCAAAACATTGTTTTTTTTAAACAACAATGAAGAAGTTTTTAATTATGTTTATTTCGTTTTAGAAATGAAATTTTTGACAAAAAAATAGGCAAAACTTGGCAGTAATATCCAGCCTGGAAAATGATTCGAGTTGATTTTGTCTGAAGCATCGAGTTGTTCGAAAAAATTTAAGTTATTCTTTTTCAAAGTTGCGTTTATTAAAAATGAAACAATGAGTTTAAATACACATGTTTCAATAGTGCATTCTGATTTTCCGGTAGATTAAAAAAATTGCTGTTTATAAAACTATTTTTCTGTTCATTCGAGTTTGCCGTTCACCACAATTAACCTCAATTGTCTTGAAACATTATTGGGATTCGATCATTCTCAAATTAAATTTCAGCCCGTGAACTAGCTGTCATTTGCATCTGCTTTCAGTTTTTTTGGATGTTTGCGCTTAAATTAATGACGTCATTATAGCGCGAAAGTGAAAAAGCTGAAATTAGATTTTCTTAGACAAAAGGCCTTGAAACTACTGGTTTGTTTGAAACTAATGCTTCAATAATCGATTAGAATCAAATACTTAAGCTCATTTTTATTTGCCCTATCGTACGTCAAATTTCAGCTGCGCTGAGTTAAAAGTTAGCTACAAAAATCTTCAGTTCAGTTTAACTAACTGATAACCCTCCTAATACTCAGCAAAACTTTCATAAACCAAAAAATCATAGAAAAAATTCGAAATTTTCAAAGCTATTTTGTACAGTAAATCGCATCACACGACCTCATTGTTTTTAACATCAAGAAATTCAAACAATAAAAAAAATTGAATAGTTTTTCATAAACGATTGGCAAAGAAATATCTTTATTAATGGAAATATCTATTCAAGCAGTGAAGCTTCCGACTTTTGGTTGAAGTTTTTATTTAGCGTAAATATGATAGAAAAAATAAAAGCTTCAAAACAAGCAATAAAGGATATCGTTTTTAAACGTTTTGAAATAGATCGTTAGAGTGAATCGGTTCACAAAAAATAGGAGTTTTTCTTTGCAAGCTAGTGAATAAATGATACATCGAAACGTTTTATAGTAATTTCATTAATTGAATTGGTTCGCAGAATATTTCAAAATTTTTTAATAAGCCATCCAAGCGCTTAAATTTTGAGAAATAAGTTTTTGTCGCTTGTTTTTTTGGCAAAACTTTATAACAGATGAAAACTGCAAAATAAACCAGTATATACATAAATACATATATATATTTAAAGTGTAACAAGCTAAGCCAGTATAACTTCTGGTCCTTTACAGGACCCCATTGAAAAAGCCTGCATGTGGTCGCAAAATTGAGAAAAACGATGAATTTGGCCCACGGTCTAAATACACCAAATTTTGGTCGGAAATTCGAAACAAATAAAAATAACGAGAGAATCAAAAATATTTTTTAATAGCTTGAACAATTTGCAAATTTTGTTTTGAAAGCAAGCTCTCAAGCGACGAAATTTTTGAAATATTTCAAGCGTGCTATCGAGCAGCTTGCTGAAAACTACATAGCTCTGAAGCATAACATTGCGTTTTCGAAACAACAAAGAGAATAATTTTAATATTAATTTTTTCGTTTCAGAAATGAAATTATTGACAAAAATAAGACAAAAATTTGGCAATTATATCCAGCATTGAAGTTGATTCAAGTTGATCCTGACTGAAACATTGAATAAGTTTAAGATAAATCTTTAAAAAATCCATATTTAGAATAAGTTTGTAAAATGTAGCTGAGAGTAACTTTTAATAGTTGCGGTTGTGAAAACTAAAGCAATGAATTTAAATGCACACTGTATCTATCGTGCATTCTGATTTTCCTTTAAAATATGTTTAAAAATTGCCGGTATTCAAACCAACTATCCGATTATTCGAGAGAGCTTTTTACCAAAATTTTTTTCAATACTGTGACATATTTAGATTCGATCATTTTCAAAAAAAATTTGCCCGTGAACTAGCTGTCATTCGCATCAGCTTCCAGCTTTTTTGTGGATAATGCGTCCAAAATTGATTAAAACCAAATATTTAAGCGTAATTCAGTTTGCCGTAATTTAAACCAATTGTCAGCTGAATTGAATTAACCGTTACCTATGATAAACTTCTTTTCAATAAATAACTGTTTACCGTCCCAAAATTTAGCAATATTTTAAAAGCCAGCCAATCAAAAGATAAAACTTCGAAAATTTCAAATTTTTATTATACCGTAAACCGCATCAAAAAGTGTCAACTTTTTTTAAAAGCAGGACATTCATAGAGAGATTATGTTCAGAAGTATTGAACTTGATAGATAGAAGGAACCGGTTCATGAAACTTCTGAGTTTTTTTGGCAATTGTCATAAAATGAGATATTGAATTAGTTTACAGCAATTCAAATGCGTGAATTGATTTGCAAAAAAGTTCAAAATTTTTTTAGCAAGCTCTTTTAAAGTTAAAGATCTTATTAGCAAGCGATGAAACTTCGAAATTTCATAGGAGTCAACTCAGAAAAACTTGAAGTTGAAATCTTAGCTTGAATCTTGAAGCATGAGCGAAAACACATCGAAATGCTTAAAGTTGTGTAAAGAGCTTGAGTCATTTGGCAATAAGCATAAGTTAATTCAGGAAGTCGATTAAATGATGAACTTATGAAAGAGTTCAAGGTGCCTCATAGCGTAAATCAGTTTGAAAAAACTTAAAAACAAGCGGCTGACATCAAAATTTTGTTCAAACTCAAGCCTTTATAATAACTTGAATTTATGTGGAAAATTTTGATTAAGAGAAAGTAAGAGAAATAAAACTTTGAAAGTTTTCAGGTTATTTTCAAAGATTGAATCAATTCGAGGCAAACTTAATTCTTTAAAGCAGTAGAAAACAACACATAATTGTTTTTAAAATTGTTCTTTCAAACGTGTTCTCATAAACAAGTGATACAAATACTTCAGCTTTTTCAATGATGCGCAAAAGTTGCAAAACTTTTTGCTCAGGAAATTGAGCAATAAATTTTTAAAAAAACCTGAAAGTTCGTTCAGAACCAACCGGTCCGCAAAAAGTTGAGCGTTTTGCAAGATATCGATGAAAAAGTTAGAACAATTTTTGGTTGTTTCATAGCTCAATAAAAAGAAGTTTTTTTTCAGTCAATCTCAAATATGTATTGCACTTTTCAACGTTAGTATACTTTTAAAAAGAGACATCAAGAGAAGACAGAAAACGGGGAAATTTCAGGAATTTTTGCATATTTACATTATCAGGAAACGTAAAACAAATTACATTTTGTTTCTGAACCGATGAAACCGCTAAAAGTTTTGGTGTGCTAATGATGGAAATTTTCCTTGCTAAAACAGGCAAGGCTTACTCCAGCCTTTTCTTTCTTTTTAAGAACATAAAAATCATTAGATTGCTTATATTTTCACACCTACGAGCTTCTGAAAAATAAAAATTTTGCAAAAAACCCCCAAACACAAATTAAGTTCCCGCTGGCATCCAAAAACGGGCACAAAATAATGAT